TGTGTCGCTTAAGTTTCTTCGGAACGAAGTTACGGAAAGTTAATTAACAAACGGAGACGTAACAATACGCTTAGTACTTATGTCTAATGGCGAATATAACTGATTATACTCGAGCTTCGCCAACTTTAAAAAACGGGGGGCGTTTACACCGTATAATTATACTTAGTATTGTTTCGTGTTGTTAAGAACAGCGCATTTCTATTCTTATTTTTATTCTATAATTATATATTTTTATACAGCACACATTTTTTCTTGTTGTTTTATATTACAAGATCGAGATGACCCACAAAAAATTTACTCCAACTTGGAATTTCTGTACTGTGACGAGGAACCCACTTTGAGACTAATAATGGCTGGAGACGGCTTGAATGGGTAATGAAGAAAAACTTTAATATAAGTTTAACATAACAGCAAATGTACAACGTTTCGACAAGGTTCTGTCAACATCAGGTACAAGTAATTTACACTGACACGGATATATATATATATACAGTATTGAACAAAGAAGTCACATGACCGGAACTGTTGTGAAGAGGTACCGGGATCGATGCCCGGCGCCTCCAATTACTATTATATTTTGCCTTCCAGTGCCATAGCGGCAGTCTGCGGATTTACAACGCTAGAAACCGGGTTTCGATACCCGTGGTGGGCAGAGCACAGATAGCCCTTTGTGTAGGTTTATGCTTAACGTCAAAACAAACAATCGTTGTCTTAATTTTCATTTTTTAAGCGGGTATTTGTCTCGTTATTTATCTATTCTGATAACAATGATATATATATTTTCCTTAATGTAGCTTTTGGTGCTAACGTTTTCTAGATCAAGACATATGGTAGTGTGTCGAGTAGTAAAAACAACCTATGACACACTGTGATAGTTTAGCGATTTTCCATTTTTCTGTAGCTCGGACTGTGGTAATCCAAACTATCATATATTTTGAGTGATGTGCTCCACTGGAACCTTATTTCACATACCAAATTTCAAGGCAATCCATTGAGAAATACACGAGACATAAAATATCCAATTTTGATTGCATTTTTTTCTTCGCACCGAAAGTACGAACCATTTATTTGATAGGAAAAATATCTGCTAAATTAGGGACGGCTAGCGCAGATAGCCCTCGTGTAGCTTTGCGAGAAATTCATAACAAACAAACAAACCCGTACCTTGTTATTTCTGGCATGGCCGTTTAGCTCGTGTATCGAATATACCGCTCAGTGAAAATACCAAACTGTTATTTTCTTTACTGGCATCGAGTTAAAGT